ATATGCTTCACTATTGAAGCTAATTAAATAAATTTTTCATATTTATTTCTAATTTAAAAAGAGAATCAGATGCTCTACTTTATGATTTACATATTTCAGCTGAACACGATATATTCGGCGAGCCTGTTAGCGACAGCGAAGACGACGATGAAGAAGCGAATATAAACGTGATGGAGCTAGATGAGAATAGCCGCCTTTCAGCGGACAGTAGAGTTTCGGACTCGAATTCGATGCAAGCCGCGTATTCTGAGAGGTCAAGTAACAACGCGACAACGAGCAGTGGATTAGTTACGGAGTTCAGTAAAGATATGTTCCACGACACCAACGGCGATACAGAAGCCGAAAAACCACAGGGTGAGACTAATCCATTAAAAGCTCCAAAATTAGACCAATTTCACTCGGAATATATTATTCCAGAATCACCTACATCGGTATCCGTTTCTAAAGGTAATTTTAAATAAGCGTTGTTTCTACTTACAAGATTGATACACATTTTTAACTTATTTCAATCTAAAAACATCTAGATTCGCGTCTTGCTAGTCTTCATGCGGAATTGGCGGAATTGCGGCAAAGAAGGCAGCAACAGGAAGTCGGAATAGCTAGTATCGAAAACGCTATGTTGAGGCAACGATTCCAGGAGATTTTAGATGATTTGTTGACTCAAGAAATACAGAAAGTACAAGAGGTAAAATGATATTACATATATATATTACATTTTATTTAACAACTGTTTGGACTTACAAATATATATACATATATACAAATATATATTCCTTTTCAGATACACGATCTAGAAATGGAATAGAAAATACAGGACGAGTTTCACACATTATACAATATATAAAAGGCAATATATATATCTATATAAGATAAATTTTGTCTTTTATATAAACAAATTTTTACATAAACTTAAGTGCAATTAACTTATATACATATATATATTGTACAAATCAAAATGTAAACAGTTACAACTTTTTTAAAATTATATTATTTAATACTGGAAAACAATTTATTTCTAACGCCTATCAATAGCATATTTTATAACATAAAAATCTTGAATAAAGTTGAAGAGAAACAAGTTGAAACACCTTACTTGTTGAAACCTTACTTTTACTAACAGCAATCATTACGTTCACGAAGATAAATATTTTCTACCGTATAACTGTGCCTTTTTCTCAAATCCTACAGATTTGATAGGAGTGTTTAGCTTATAAAATGGATTCATTGAATACTGAAACATAGAAACACAGCATTTCTGAAGTAAAGTCGTTAACATGCTCATATATACTGAAGTTGAAATGTATACACGGAAATTAAAATCCCAACATCATGAAAGAGTTACAGAGGTGAACGAAAATTACACTCTATTTCTCTATGTGAGTTAAATTTGTTATGCAGGAGATGTGAATGCAGTGCCATATAAGAATTGAATATTATTCTCCTTAATACCTCATTGCCACATTAAATGCAGACGTCTAAATGCATATATATAGCTCATATATCTATATTCTTATCGTAATATCACAAAATGATAATCTATAATCCTCTCGAAAACTTATTATGCGGCTTCACTTAAACTGGGTTAATTGCCAATATGTAGTTTGTTGCCTTCGAGATATTCTGTACATTCACATTATTAACGAAATAGATAACGTACGACACAGCTGTGTTATCACAGCTTTTTATAAGCACTAATGCTTACGAGCAGACTAATGTTTTATACATGTAATGGAAACTTCCATATTTCCTACTTGTCTATGAGTTATAATCTTGCAATTAATATCCATGTAATAACTTATAAACAAACATTCTGTGTAATTTTCATTTATCTAACACAGTTCCTTCTTGATGTTGGGATTTCAATTTTCGTCAGTGTAAGTAATATCAGTGAATGCTTTCTTATTATAGTCCGTTCTTATTTTAAGATCATGTTAAGATGCTAATACAGCTCTCTCATTAGTTCACAACATCTTAACAAATATCAGACTATGAATACTGGTTACAGAACTGCATATTAGCATCTTGAGACATTACTTAAGACGATAATTGGTTTATAACATTTTTGTACTCAAGATAGTCTTGAATATTAAGAATTTTGGTGATTTCTAACAAGAGATGCAGTGTAACACAGTGGTCATTATGTCTTTGTACAACATTGGCAAACAACAAAGATGTAATGATTCACTGTGCTACACTGTGTTATCTATGTCTCTCGTTAAAAAGCATCCTATAAATATCAGCCCATTGTAAGGCCGTAATCACATTGCAGGTTGCGGTTCTATTTTAGCCAATCATGATGCAGCGAGTGCGAATTAGACAATGTGATATGGTGAAAATAGAACCAACAACCATAATCGACAACCTGTAGTGTGATAATGGCTTAAGACTATTTCATCTCTGTTTAATATTAGCATACAAGAGACATTTTCCAGCAAAGATCCAGTCAGACACCGTGCAACACTGTAAATCATTTTATCCTTGTTTAACATAGGCAAACAACAAGGGTAATGATTTATTGTGTTACACTGCGTCTGACTGTGTTGCTTGACTTGCTGGAAAACACCCAAGAATTTACAGTGTTATGTCATCTGTTTCTTGCTGCAAAGCACTCTAAACCTACGATATCATATATAAAATAATATTATAAAATAACTATTACCTTTATGTAAGTCTCATACATTTCATTAAAAAAGTTCTTGATCCCGTCTTCATTCTTGCTGTCGTGCACCATGACGAATCTGATATGGGTTGCCGTCACAAACGCGCTAACAAACCACTGGTTAAATTTATCCACAACTTTCAGATGCATGTTCGTCGTTTTCCACGTGTGCTCGTCAACAAGATCGAGCGCCGCGTGGGCGATAAATTGATTCAAATGCGAGTGATCCTCCTTCTAAAAGAAAAAAATAGGATGGTAGAGTCGACAAGTCAATGCAAAGTTGGAGTTTAACCTAAAAACGAACCTTTGCGTCTTTTCCAGCATTATTAAATTCTATCTCGAATAGCGGATTATCGGCATGGCCAACGATAGCGAAATAGTAATTTGCGGACATTGCGAAACGGCAGAACGCGTTGTCAGATTATCACCGTAAGTCGTAACATACGATTATTCGTCAGAAAATTACTGTCAATCCTCCGCACACGGCGCAGCCATCTGCTATATGCTGCTATATCTCCTCAAAAGGTTCAAGATATCGTGCCTCGCGATTCGAAAAGTACTTCAGTCGATTACGGTAAGATTCAAGAACAGTTGAAAAACGAGAACAGTTTGAAAAAATAAAATTTTTTGAAATTAAATATATAAGATTGTGTTCTTCAAAAATCGAAAATCGCATACTTATGCATTTTTCAGCTTTTTACCTATTTTTAGCGATAATTTTTATATATAAAAACGTTTTCTGTATAAAAAAATTAAGCAAAATATCAAATGTATTAATCGAATCTTGATTTTATATAAAATTTGTAATTCTGTTTGAATTGTCAATTACTTGCAGGAAACTATTTTACTTTTGCCTAATTAATACCGACGGGAGGTGCTTTATTATTTTATTCAGTCGGTAAAGCAGATGTATCAGAGGTCAATTATGTATCTTGAAATTTCCGATAAAAGGACCAATAAAATTATAAGTATTTTAGTAATTTCGATTTTCGAATTTTCACCTCGTTTCAAGACATATACTCGATCCCCATCAGAATTGTACCATATATTTTTAGTTTATACGTTTTTATAGAATATTTCCGAGTTGTGCGTTCACTCACAAAATATAATCTAATCTATACGTGTAATAACAATGTAAACTATATAAACCATATTTTACATGTTATATGTGCAGTAAAAAATTAATCTATGAAGGTATTGTATTTAATAGAAGCCCGTTTTTTTATCGTTGCACTAAAGTAATTTTTATCTCGTTTAAATATTTTTTTTATTTGTCGGTATTAAAATCTATTTTGATCTTAAAACTTTATAACTTTTTTGTATATGGTTTTATAATCCAATTTATTTATAATTTACATATTTTATATTGTATTTAATTGTGTATTGTCTATAAGAAATAAATTTATGTGAATTCAAATTTAAACATAAATGTAATTAAATATTCTGTGTAAATGTAATGTTGAAATGTACAGCACAATTAATCCTGGAATACTATTTAAATATTATATTACATTCATGAATCTTTATTAATTAAATGATGATTATTATCATTTTCTTTATTCTGCACACTGAAATATACATAAATATATACATAAAATTTATTATATCCATAGAACGCTTTATTTAATATAAATTTATCTCAATTTTAGTTTTCGCTGTTGTTTGATCTCTTTATTAAATCGAATTCTCTAATGCCGAATATTAATGGCTGTCATTCGCGTTTTTATTAATGACAGAACACGACAACTCGTCGTGTTGCTAATTTTAGCGGATCCTGTATATACACACACGCGAATGACAATCATCAATCGTAATTACTAACCGCAGCTGCAAAATAACAAAGTAGAGATCGCTGATAAATATGCGAGAATCGACAAATAATAACTTCGTCTCTTTTGAGCGCGCGTGGAAAAAATACATGCTGACAAACACATAATTTCGGGATAATCTTCGCGCGATAATGATATGAAGAGATTCCGTGGCACGCCGCGCTTTGCGATACGACACACACACACACACACACACACACACACACACACACACACACACACACACACACACACACACACACACACACACAC